AATATTGAGAAATAATTAAATGTTTTTAGTAAAATTTTGGTACAAGTGATCTACGGAGAGAGTTACAGAATTGGTCCACTATTATATTAGCTTATTATTAGCTTATAATAATTTTTACATGATTTTTTCTTTTTTTATGCATTCTCTTTTTAACCATCTTGCTATTTTCAGCTTTAGTTAAATGCTTTTCTTTTTCTATTTTAATTTTTAAAAAATTAAAAAAATAATAAGATATTTGCACAACTAACTTAACTTAATAAGTACTAAAATATCTTCTTTTTATAATTAAATAAACACTAAGTATAAAATATTAAATAATATAAACATTATATTAATATTATTATAATATTATTAGTTAAATAAATAACTATATTAAAATAATATATCTTTTATTTTGAAAAATACTTATAAACTTCTTAGTTTTTAATTAATATGAATTTTTGTAATGTTTTTTGTATTTAAATAAAAACTTGTATATTATAAATATTTAATAAATATTAGTATAATATCATTAACTAAATAAATAATTATATTAAAATTTAATATGTACAACTAAAATTACTAATAAAGATATGAGCAAGGCCTTATCTTAATACCAAAAAAAAAATATATTAAAATAATATACTTTTTGCTTTGAAGATATACTTATAAACTTATTAGTTAAGAGTATAGCAATTTAGTAAAGTAAATAGATTATTAACTTCTAAGTAACAGATCTAGAGTTCAAATCTCAGTAATAGTAAAAATTTGCAATTCTTTCTGTATTATAGTTAACTGTTTTTTGTAATTAGTTGGAATTAGATACCTGTAATTTGTGTTATACCAGTATGACTGAAAGGTCTAGGCATTCATACAATGTTGTACAAAGAAACACAAACTGGTACTAGGCAGTGTAAACCTAAGATAAGTTCTTAGGTTATGTAAATTATAAGAACCAGATAAGAAAACAGATGCCTACTTAAAAAACCTGAGTAAAGAGGTAGTTAGAAATTTCTTAAGCTAGTTTTGCCTTATATTTAACTAATTGAGTACATATTTTGTTAAGAGTATTCATTTGGGTTGAGGTAAGAAATAAAAAATAGAGTTAATAAAGAAGTTATAAAGTAATAATACTATTTATGATATAAGTTACTTGTTTTTTTATTATATTAGCAAATAGTAACTTTTTTAAGTTAATTATAATTTTAGCTATTATTTTTTTTTGTACTAATATTGGTCTTTTGTTAGTTGAAAACTATGCTTTTAAGTATTTAAATAGTTTTTCATTATTAATCACTATTAGTTGCTCTTTATCAAAGAGTATAAAGTTATTTAGATCTGTTGAGTTTGTAATTAGTACAGATTTTGAAGAGTTGATCTTTATATTGCAAATTTGTAAAAGGAAGAAACAGTATTCAGAATGTTTGTAAAAGAGGTTTTGTTAGATGCAATTTAAAATAAGTCATTCATATAAGCCATTACTAAAGCATATATCTTTTTTGGATATAAACCAGAAATTTTATTAAAAATTTCTAAGTATTTTTTGTATATTTTTGAGTTTAGTAGATTATAATATATTTTTCAAAGAAAAGATAAAAAGGTTTCTTCTTGGTCAATGCCATCTTTGACTGAGTAAGGTGTAGTTAGACTTAGGCTCATAATTACTTTGTTGGTTTGGTATGAAACAAGTATAATATCAAGTTTATAGCTTTGTTTGATATATAAATTTTTTTGAGTGCTTTGTATAAGATGAATATATGAATTGAGTCAAAGGCTTTTGATATATCTTGCAAGAGAATTCAGACTTTTTTCTTATTTGTAATTGTATTCTTCAAAATTTGAATAAGGTAAAAGATTAGTTGTAATATAGATTAATAAGAAAAGACTACAAAATTGTATAAAAAAAGTACTTGGTTTTGAACTAGAATGTTTATTAGTCTGATTATTAGAATCTTTGTAAAAAATTTTCTAGTATAATCAATTAATGTTATTGGTTATATAAAGTTAAGTTCATAGTTATAATGTTGTTTTTTTGGATTAGCCAAATGTTGGCTTGTAGTTACTAGTTAGAAATACATTCTTGTATCAAACATTTATTGAATATTTCTAGTAATAATAGGAGAGCTAATAATAGTAAATGTTGAAGAACCTTATTTGCAATTCTTAGTGGTTTTGTTACTTTTTTTTTAGAAGCTTTTTTTATAGTTTGTTCAAGTTTAGCTAAAGTAATTAGAGACAAAAGGTTGTTATTAGTGTTCTGCAAAAGACCCGGTCCAGTCTGGGTCTGGTCCAGTCCGTCAAATGGACCGAACTTAGACCTTTGATTTGTCAAGAACAATATGGGTTCAGACTCTCATGTAGGTCCGCCAGGTAATACTCAGTCCGGTTATTATAATACTATACACTGATTGCTAGTTTTTTCTTTTACAGTTCTAACTAAAAAATTATTCTGCTGATTCATTAAAATATTAACTTTAGCATAATCAGCATAATGTTTATAAATTGAAACGTAAAACATATATACTACAAGGCTTTAAATGATTCTATTTACAGTGCAGTAGTAACAATCATTAATATCAGTACGATCACATGAAGGTGTAATATGAAATGTAGGAGAGATAGTTCTATTCAATTTTTCCTATATTGGAAAAATCCTTTTTTAGAATAAGTAATAGTTTTCATTTTTCCGATTACAGCAGGAGTTAAGATTATAAATATTGCATCGACATGGTGCATACATATAACATCGCATGATTGTGTGAAAACCAGCATTTCATATATTGTACTCACATATCTTATTGGGAATACTTCATGCTCATGTGTAAATTAGTGAGAATATAACGATAATATAATTATGAAGAAAATTACATTAATATATTGCAATAAGGAGTATCTCATAGAAAAATTCCCAGCTACAGTGTAATGGTGTAAGATACTTTTCGAAATTTTACTTTCTGAAAATACGTTCACATTATCTAATTTCGATTTCATAATTTATTCATGTGTAACTTCACGCAAATGTTAATTTCAATCATAATGACTGTGGAACAAAAATTTATGAATGCCACCAATTTTTGATTGAATGGCAATTTTTTCTCTTAGCGTAAAATGATGGCCATTCATACAAATGTACCCTTTATGACATCTGATTGGCTGGATCAAACGATTTGTGATAGTATGTGTTAAAATTTGCATATAAGATTAACTAAAAGAATCATGAAAATTTTAATTACATGCCAATTCCAACAGGAGAAACCATTAATGTTACACATTAATCTTTCACATAATGTAGTCAATCAATAATAGAATTATTTATTTTGTGTTTACTCTAAAATGTATGTTATGAATATAATCTCTCGCTCTGTCATTCACATGAGGTGATCAGTTGAACTGAAATATTTGCACATAACTTCAAGTGTGATGAATATAATCACTCACTTTGTGTAATATTAATGGTTCCTCCTGTTGTTCTAACTGGATAATTAAATAAAAAAAAATATAGTTGACTGTTAAATTATGAGCTCGTGGGAAAATTATTCTGAGAAACTTTATGATCATCAATTATATGTGCAAATGTAATAATACTACATAATTAGTCAGTCATTTAAAAATAAGCGCCTTTCTGCTCTTGTTATTTACTAAAAAAACAAGTATGTCTTTCTTCCTTAACATCACTTATATATTAACAAATGTTAATAGACAATTGCAAATAAATATGACAAAATAAAATTCTCATACTCATTGAGTATACATAATTCACACCTGCTTTGACAAGTTTTGCATATATTTTGAAAAACCAATATGTATCTATCTATTAATCCTGTATATATCTAAGTATATACATAGTGTGTATAAACTTACAGATGCCAATTGTACTGGTTTTGTGTAGAACTACATACTGCACCACTGTCTTATATTAATTGATAATGACCAAATAGCCAATATCTGGTTAAATATGATATTTTTAAAACATATTCATGAGAAAATAAGATCGTTTAAAGCCTTGTAATATTTTATATATTTTACGTAAATTTTAATTTACAAATTGATTAGTAATCTATTTATAACTTATGTTGAAAAAGTGTAAGCTGCATCAAATAACTGCTGGGATTAAGGCATAAAAGACTTGGTCCAAGTAATTAAGGTTAAAAAGGCTTAAGAAGATATCTCCAAGGTCAGATAAGTGTTCTATTACTCTTTGTACAGTAACTTATTATTCTCTTTAGCACTTTTACTAATGCTTTAGCTTCTTTTCATAGATACTCTTGTTCGAATTTTAGCCAATCCGGTTAAGTCACAGGGTATGTGATTTATTTCAGCACTGAGGAATGTTGAAATCTGAGAATCGAATTACGTATATATAAAGTGTGAATTGATCACTGATTTAATCAATAACTATATAAAGGGTTTGATTACTAATTGCTACTTTCTCTTATTAGGAAAATATGATATATAAAAATTACTACTAAAAAGAAAAGTAAATCTGAAATAATAAATTATCATAATAATAATAAAAAAAAGGAAGATGGTATAATAAAGTTTTATTGCTGAAAGATCGTATTTTTGCATTTTGGTCTAAAATAATACTAAAGGCCTGTAAATATCGTAAAAACCTGCATTTAGTAAACATTTACACTTAAACCTGCATTTTTTTTAAAAAAAAGCATGTGAAGAAGCATAAGAAAGCATGAGAGAAAAAGCCTAAGAAAGTATGTATTAAATAACTTTTTCTTACTCCTATGTATTACAGCTTTTTTACTAGAAAATTGCACTTAAATATATATATATACTTGCATTTAGAAAAAAAACTTGTATAGTGCAGGAAGTTTAAAAACCTCTATATTCTTATATAGAGATCATATATAATTAGTATCTCATTGAAAATAAATTTTGAGTTATAAACCTCAATAAAATGCAAAAAACTTGATTTCAACCTTCTTGCATAGAATAATACACCAATAATAAAATATACTTAAAAGCAGACTATTTATATTTATATTGCTAAACTTGGTCATTCTTTAAGAATGATAATCTTCAATGAGTTAGTTGTCTTTATTCTATATAAAGTGAATAAGGTTTCTAAATTTCTTGCACTATATGTTTAGAAAAAAAAATTCACATTTCCAGTTTTTTTCTTTTTTTTTTTTATCGATTTATTTTTTTGGTTGGTTCTTGTTGATCTTATTATGATGAGTTTTTTTTTCTTTATTATAGCTTATATTAGAGAATATTTATTTAGAAAAAGTTAATTATTTTTATATTAAAATATTATTAATCTTTTACTTAAACTTCTCCAATATCAACCAAGTCGCATTTTCAGAATGAATTGGATGAATTTGAAGAGTGTAGTCCCTTATTTCTGTATTGTGGTGAATTTTATCCAGATAATTTGTATGTGGATGAATCTTACCTAAATGAGGATAAATCTTATCTAAATCAAGACGAATCATATCAAGATGAATTGTATCAAAAGGATACGTACCAAGATAAATCACATCCTGATGAATCATACCAAGGTGATTCACATCAAGACAAATCTTGTCCAAATAAATTGCCATCACAAGCAACATATAATGAAACCTCTAAAAATGATGGGTAATATATACGAAGTCTCACTTTAATATTTTATGTTTATTAGCTTTTTATTATTTATCTACTTTTTATTTTATAGGTCCATTGTGTAGTTGTATTTTAAAAAGGAACAAGGCAGTGCCACATGTGATATTTGTAAGAGAATGCTGGCCTATAATGATGGAATGATGTCAAATCTTTTAAGACATCTCAAGAGACATAAAGGCAAAGTACCTGAACTAAATAAATCAAAAAGAAAAGTTAGTGTTTTGAAAATATTAAGTAATAAAGCCTGCCAATGTGAACCCTTCAATCAACAAAAATTTACTGACATGGTAAAAAGGTGGATTGTAAAACATAATTGATCATTTCAAATCATTAAAGATGAAGAACTTAAATCTATATTTACTTACTTAGAACCTAGTACAGTTGGTAAAAATAGTATATTTAATATATTAGTAATGCTACAGTAAAATATAAAATACTTAGAGTTTTTTTTTAGTACCTTCTGCTAACCTCATTAAATGAAATATTATGAACAATTTTAATGATGAACATGAACAACTTAAAAAAAAACTACAGAAAGTTTCCAGATGTATAGCTATTACCACCAATATTTGGACAACTTCTACTAATGAAAAGTTATTTATGGCTGTCACAATCCATTATCTAAATCAGTCATGAAAATTAAAGCATATTCTACTTGATTTTATTTTAATGGAGGATTCACATACGGGTATTGAAATTGCAAAGGCCATGAAAAACTGTCTTCAAAAAAATGGAATACTCTCAAAATTAATGTCTATAACATGTAATAATACATCTTCCAATATTAATTTTTTGCATGACTTTTCTCATTCTATACTAATAACAGGTTATAGATTCGATAGTACACAGCAATCAATATAGTGCTTTAATCATATTTTAAATCTTGCTGTTCGGTGTATTTTAAAAGTCATAGAGAAGAAAGTAGAAAAGGTTATTATACCAATTTTAATGTTTCATGTAAATTATATTACATGATTTATTTGTATTATATTATACTATACAACAATGAGTCAAAGCATCTGAATACATTAATATATTTTAGAATGTTTTGTGCATACTCTAAGTAAGATCCTGAGTTTGACAGGACAGCCCTTTTGAAGTCCAGTTACATGATTGTAATCTACATTCTGCCAGATACTCATCTACTATTATATATTTTGCAGAGTGTAGACATTTTGAATTATCAACCATTATGTAACCAGACTTCAAGAGGGCCACCCTGTCAAACTTGTAAGATCCTCATGAGGCTATATATTTATGGTTTTTTTTAATATTATTATAGTTGTGTGGATTAATAAAAAGTGTAAGAGGATTATGAAGACGATGCAAAACAGTAAAGCTATCTAATGAGCTAAAGCCAATTCTTGATATAGTAACATGGTGGAATTTCACCTTCGATATGTGTGAGTGAGCACTAAAACTACATACAGTGTTGAATGCTATATCATTTTCTGAAACAGAATTACATCCATATATTTTGGCTGATAATGAGTGGAAAATAATAGAACTTCTTGTTGAAGTTTTATTACCCTTTAAGGATGGTTAGTATATTTTCAATATAGATAAATAGTTGACTTTGAATATAACGAACTTTTATATAACAAATTTTGAATATAATGAACCTATAATTTTAAAAATTCATAATTCAGTATAGCCTTTAAGACAACATAGCAATTTTCTATAATGAATCTTTTTGTCTTTCAGAACTATCAGTTCATTATAGAAAGAGTTTACTGTAATTCAAAATATATGTAATATGAAATTTTATAGAGTAAAAGCATTTACTCAGTTTAATTTGTATTTAGTGACCATATTTATGTTATCGTCAGAATATCTAACATTGTCAATAGTTATCCTCATCTATTATTCATTGCTTGAATCACTTAAAGAAGCTAGAAAAAAAGATGATATGCCATAGTGGCTTATTCAAGGGTGTGAATCTGCATCTGGTAAACTTCTCGAATATTGCCAAAGGACAAGTGTTTTACATATTGTGTCAGTTGTGCTAGATCCATGGTTTAAATTCCAATACTTTGTAGAACTTAGATGGTCATCTCAACTTATTAATCAAATTAGAGATATATAAGTATTTATATAAAAGTTGCAATTAGAGGTCTGATCAGTCAGTTATTTGAATAACTGAATATTGATTAAAAAATTTAAATGAATATCTGATATATCTATTGAATATTCATTAAAATATATATATCTAATGCTATACTAATACTATTAAAGCTATAACATCTGTTCTTTTTAGTATCTTAGTTTATATATATAATATATATATATATATATATTTCTTTCATATGATTTTAATATCTTGTAAATTAATAGTAGTTAATGCAGAAGTGGCTAATTATGGAAAAAACAAACTTATCATATGATTAAATTTAGATATAGTAAAACCTCTATTAGAGTTTCCTAAAGTAGCTTATCATGAAATGAGCAAATATGAAAATTATCATATTAGAATTTGAACCAAATAATGCATAAACACTAGTAAATCAGAGATGTCACAGTATATAGCATAGGCCATTGGATGTATATGCTTATCTAAGCAGTCATAGAAAAACTTATTAGAATTAGTAAAAATAATCTTTAAATTTAGAGTTTAGCATATTTTATTTAACAAATAAGATACCTTAAAGTAGACAGATTTATAATTAATAATATTTATTTTACTATTGTAATTTGTTATTGAATTTTTGTTAAGCTTAATTAATGAATACTTCTATAATAATTTATATAATATTTAAGTGTTAAAAACAAGTATGAAGATCAGTATGCACCTCTTTCCAATCAGAAGCAGTAAGCTTAAGCACAGAACTATCTCAAAGTATCATATCACGAACCTTTAAACAAACATATACAGAATAGCAAAATGAACTTGTAACATATTTAATGACACCACTTGTAGATGAGCATACAGATATTTTAGATTGGTGGCACACAAATGAAAGCTGTTATTCGAATCTTGCAAAATTTGCTAGGGATTGCCTTGCAATACCTGCTACGAATGTCCCAAGCGAGCAAACATTTAGCATTAGTAGTAATATGTTAACTAGTAAGCAAAATAGATTGGATGAAAAAACTGTATGAGCAGCAATATGCTTGAGATCATGGTGGAGAGAATTAGATTAAAATATATATATAGCATTCAGATCAAAATTTCTAATTTGAATTTGCAGAATTTAAGCTTTGTATCTTAATAAATTAATAAATTAAAATCTAAAATAGTTTTTTTTAGCAGTATTGATTTATAAAAATTTGGATTCATACTTTTATTATGCTGTTATAATTCTAAGTGTTTTATTATGCAACCACAATTTATTTAAATTTTATGGACTGGACTGGACTCGGACCTACATTATACAGTTTTAAACCCTAACTTGAATCTGATTTGGTTTTCAGGTTGGACCCAGATTTTTAAAAATATCTGCCTGATCCGATTCATGCAGAACATTAGTTGTTATAGATATTGTTTTTAATGTTGTTAAATGGATTGTATATTGATTCTTAGTTCTTCCAAATAGTATTATTAAATAGATTTTCTTTGGTTCAGTTTCTAAAATATAGACATATAGGTTCTTTGATTTCATTCCTATCAATAATTATCTTGTTAAAAAATATAATTTTTTCAAAGTTTACTAGTTTTGCTCTTTTTTTAAAAATACTATCTAGCATATGACTAGTGTTAAAGTTTAAATATTTTTAGCTTGTATAAAACTTAATTTTTTTACTTTGTTCTTGCTTTTTTTTAAAATTTTGTGCTTCTATATTGTGTGCTTATATTGCTTTATTTGTGTTATAAAATCAGATTAAAGAAGATTTAATTATGCTTATATAATTAATAAAATATTTATTTCTGTAAGAGTAGCTTCTTTAATAGATAATAGTTTACTCTAGTTAAGTTATTTAAAGAGTTATTTGAAAGATAGTGTAGATATTTGTTAATATTTTTCAGAGCAGAATGCAGTTTGGTTGCTTTTAGCAAAAGTGCAAAGAAGGGTTTAAAAGTAGTAAAGGTATATAAAATATGTTCATTTATTTTTTTTTAATTTTTGCTGTTCAGAAGTTCCATATTTTGGTTATATTGTTTTTGTTCATGTTTTATATTAGGATATTTTGTGAATTGAAGCAGATATTAAGTAAATTTTCAAAGTTTTTACAGTTCTCTAATGTTATTTCTTAAACAGATATATATATTTTTTCTTTTTGTTTTTAGGGATTTTTTGTGTTGAAAAGTTTGTGTATTAGGTTGTGCTTAAAAAGTAATAATTACTGCCTAAGATGTAGAAAATGTCAATTAGAGATGAAGATTTAAATGCTAGTAATATATCTGATAAAATTCAAAATTTATTAATTTGGCTAGCAGAAGTTGGATCATGTCATGTTGATGTTTGAATGTTATAAAAGGCTAGTAGATTTGTTAAATTGACAGCATTTAGATTTGTGAATATTAGGTGTTTGTTTCTGAGTTAATTAGCATTAAAGTTACCTAATATAATTAGATACCAGTTTTTAGTCCTAGCTTCTGTAATTCAAATAAGTAATTAAGATTAAATATTTTTTAAGAGAAATAAATAATTTAAAGAAAAGTAAATTGAAATGATACAAAATTTGATATTATTAGGAAAAAAAAATTAAGACATATAGCTGTTTCTTGAAAGATATTAATTTTATGAATATATAGTTGTAATTAATTACAAACTATTAAGACAATTCTCAAACTGGCTTCACATTAGTTTGGTTTGTATAATATAAAGTTTGAGGTATAGATTTTATATAAAGGATTAGTTAGTGACTTTATTATCAAGTTCTTTAGCTTAGTTTTAGTAAAAGAAATTATATGTAAGTTTGATTCAGCACAGTGTTCAATCCAGGTTTGCATTTTTAGTATATTATTAATGCCTCTAATGTTATATAGTAATGTTGATTTTTTTATTTATATTAAATTTATATAGGTTTGATTCATTCACATTTTCTACTGATTATAAAATGTTTGTATTAGAGTGTATGCTTATAAGTCTTTTGTTATAGAGTCTTCTTTTATTGCAAGTGTTTGTGTCTTTGGTATTGTATTGGTTATTTCTTTATTTTCAAAAATATTAAAGAATGACCTAGGTAAGTCTATAAGATTGAATATATATTTTGATACTATATAATAGAAAAAGTTATATTATTACTTTTAACTCTTTCCAATAATCACTTGAACCAAGTTGGCACTGAAAGTAGATTGAAGACTCTGACTCCAAAGTGGATAATATTTTTAGTTTTACATTAAGTAAACTTGTTATCGACAAAGCTTAAATATGTGATACATCGAGGAGCAGGTGAAACTTGAATAGTTCTTGCCTTGGGTTAAGCTTTTTGTTTGGTGGACTCCCTTGCATATTTAGCATCCAAACCAGAGGATATTCTGGAAGCAAGTAGAGACAAAATCAGTTCTCTGGTTAAGAATATTAGAAGCAGAAGAAAAAGAAGAACAACTAGAAAAACTCTCCTTGACTTGGACTCTTGCAACAATGATATACCTCCTCTTTGTCTTTTTTTTTTGGTTTCTTTTTTCGAAAAAGTGGGGATTTGGCTCACCCTCATCAAAAGATCAACATTGTGCATCACTTTCTTTTTTAGTTATATGCTTGTTTGGACATGGCAAATAATGAATACAACAAACATGTGAGTCAGCCAATCATGTGAAGCAAATTGGAAAAGAATTTAATTCAGAAAGACCAAAAATATATTGAGATATGCATATATTCCAAGGCCATGTGCATAATATTTTAAAAAAAAATAGATATAGGAGTTTATGAAGAATTGGACTACTTAAGTGCACTTCAAACCATGGCACAATACCTCACCTACTTGAAGATTCTTCTATATAAAAAGTGCCTGGCTCAAACTCCATCCTACAAATGAATACAGTTTTCATTCTGGTAAGAGTACCTAGTTTCTAGAGAATAGCTATAGCTTATAAAAATATGAAAACATTGTAGCGAACAGCAATCATAGAATAGAGTTTTATCTTGTTAGTAGGTTTTTTCCTTTATTCTCCTTATAGATTAGTTTTATTTTCTTTTTGTTAGTTTTATTTTACTTCCTATTTTTGTTCCTTTCTTCCCCAACTTTAAAATCATTTTCTTTTTTTTTTTTGTTTTTCTTTTCTCTATAAGAAGATGTCTCCAGATTGGTGGTATCCTATTGTAAGGTAGAGGTCAGACAAGTCATAATTTCTAGTTCTAACTAGATTAGTGCAGCAGGTCACATTTAGATACAATTTGGGTGGCCGGATGATAATAGACTTATGAGTTAAATGATATTCTGTATTTACAAATGTAGCTATAAATGGTTTAATAAAATACTACCATAAATGCTTAAGGAAAAAAAAAAAAAAAAAAAATAGAAAAAGTTTTGTTAAAGAGTTTTCAAAACCAAAAGGATATTGTAATGTTTTTTGATAGAAATATTTATATTGTCAATATTTTTTCTATTAATGCAAGTTGCAGTTTTTTAATTATAAAAAGTAGTTTATTTGAAGTATCACTAGTTTCAAATTGTTTTTTCTGAATATTTATTTAAGATTAAGATATTATATAAAGTAGTAATGTTTGTATAATGCTTTGGCTACCATGTTTAGCTCTTTGAAAGTTAAAATTGATAAAGTTAAGTTTATTGCTATAACTAGTTTAATATCTTCTAATAGGTCTAAAGTTTTGTATAATTAAAATCATAATATATTTTTAGTAATAGTATTGGAATGCTATATATAAATAGCATTTTTTTAATAAATAAGTTAACTTCTTTTGTAGTTTGTAAAAAAAAAGTAAGGTTTAATATTCTTAAGTCTGCAGGATTTTAAAGTAGTTGTTTATGTAAAATAATGTAGTCATTTGGTAATTTTGTAAATAAGTAAACTATTCACAAAAATCTAATATGTTCTTTGAAGTCTTCTTGGTTTTTGGATAAAAAAAAAACTTTTTTTTTAGTCTGAAAGTTAAGTCTTGTAAAATAAAAAGTAGTGGGCTCTTTGGTGCTAATAACTTAAAGTAGCTAGATAAAATTTGTCAATAAATATAAAACTTCTGCAGGATTTCTCTGTATTGAGTTAAATTTTGTAAGTTTGCTCTACTTATAATAAAAAATATGTTGCATACTTCATTATTTAGAAGTTCATATAAATTTGGTAGAGGTTTACAGTTATCTAATATATATATTTTGGATATTTTATTAAATAAAAACATTAGATATAAAGTCTTAACTACAATTACAATAATTTAATAATTTAAAATAGGTAGACTAAAAGGATTGGCTTTTATTAGATAACTAGAAATTGAGTTAGGTTCTGAAGGTAATAGTATTAGTATCTTATTAATATGACTTAATACTATTTTTTTGATTGTTTCAAAATTTAGTTGCCATAAAATTTTTGCAAATCCTATTAAGTAAAAGATATATCTTGTAATCTCTTATATATTTATTAAATTGAAGTCTAGGTTAGTTAAATAATTTGTTGCTAGTTTAATTTGTAGTAGTTTAAAAATTTTGTTCTGATTTTTTTTGTTTGTTGCTAGTACATTGTATTATTTTTTATAGATGTCTAGAGCTTCTGTAAACAAATTATTAAATTCTGTTTGATGTTGTAATCTGATTGCAATAATTTATATAAAGCTTCTAAAAAATGTGTATTTCTATAAAACAATTTTGCTGTGATTGCTTTTAAAATATAATTTGTAGTTGGTTTCATAAAAAGTTTGTATCTAATTAGTTTTTTGATGTTATTATAGAAGGTTAGTGCATCTTTGATTTTTGGCTAAGTTTAGATTGTTATGTTAAAAAGCTCTAGTCTATCTTGTCTAATTTCTTTTAAAGCTAACTGTACATGCTTATACTATTTTTTTTCTTTGTTACTATTAAAGCTGTTTGAAGTTTTTTTGTTTCTTTCTAGAAGGCTTTTAGTAACTGCCTGGCTATAAGATATCTTTTTCTATATTTGTTCCTCTAATATTGTGTTTGTTAAATATGTTTCTTTTTTTTTATCATCCATGTTTGTTGTATTTTGGTCTATTTCCATATCTGATGTTTGTTTGTTTGTATTATCA